CATATATGTTTTATTTGGTTTCTGCACGAATATGTGAACTCAATATTTATTTTCTCTCTACATTTTGCAAGATTTTGAGAAACCTCCATGGCCTCACAAAGTAATCGGCCTTTCAGTCAATTCTGTGATCGAATTCTTTGCTTTTTAAAGAGGTAAAGCTTGTTAACCTTCTCATTCCAAACTTGCACAACACCTCCAAAGAAATGGTTATATATATATTTATACATTTAATCTTAATTAGTTATTCATACGTATTTAATGTCAGTAACAGTTCTAAAGAATGAACTTTTTCCTGAACAAAACACAAAGCATGACAACTGATATTCAGGAGCCATGATTATTCAACTTTGTTAACATGCAATAGACATTATAAAACGTGTGATATTAATTTTTACTGAAATACAATTGTAATGTTACTGTTACAACATGATCATTTTATTCATATTATAAAATGATTCTTCAAGGTCATATTAAGTATTAAACCCACATGATGATCCACAGTGGGAGCTGTTTGTGTGCACCTCCTGCTGCTTCTTCCCACCCCTTCAAAATCCTTCCTATTTCTCCACCCACAAAAACTTTGCTGGCTGTTTCCATAACACATTTGGGTCTGAAAAACTTCAGATCACACTGCATCAGAGTCGAGATCGCCCAGGTCGGTTTGAAGTCTGACGTCCCAATTCAGAAGCCACATCTTGGACTCATCTCAGGTACTAACATCCATCGTATTCTCTCCTTAATGATTGTTGGTAGCACTATTTGGTGTCTTGATTTAAGTCACATCTTTGCATTTTTATCAAGAAAGGTTGTGAACCAACCACTATTTTTCTTTTATATCTTCTAGGATGCAAATCAAGAGAATCAGGATGCTGTTTGGCTTCTGTGTATTGTCTGTTGGGTTTTTCCTGGACATGGGAGTGTGCACTGCAGGTAAGGAACTTTATTTATTTTTTACCACTGGTTTTACTTAGGCAGAAATAATTATGATACACCAAATCAAAAGATTTAACACGGCTTGTAAGATAAAACAAATACGTTTTTAACCTTGAACCATGTTGAAAGTGACTAAATGGGCTTTTGGTTATACAAGTTGGCTGGATTGACAACATTAGAAAACGTAGTGACAACATTAGAAAACTTAGGTTTGTCCCTTTTCACCAATATTTCAAAGTTTGACCCGGTCACTACATTTGTTATTCAGTGTGGTGACAGCTTTCTTTTTACCCTCTGCCAAATTCCTCATGTTTTCACTGCTGGATTTGGTAGAAATTTCTCAGGCTTGAGGAGACATAAATACATAAACAGCCAGCTTGGATCAATATCAAAGTGTAGCAACACATCCTGTCCAACTCTTCTTGAAAAACAGAAAGGGAAGCGAGCCAGTTGTCACTCTCACAAAAAACGGTAATAAATTAACTCTATGGAGCAAACAAAGGCCTTGTGTTTCTGAGTGGCCAAAAAGTCTTGAAGAGCTTGTATACGTGTCATCTTTTGAAAAGGAGGATCTGATGGTTGTCAGGATCACCCTGTGGCGATGGATCCCCGAGGCCTTGGCCTGAATCGAGGGCTTTTGATACTCTTTGACTTCCCTCCCATCTCACAGTGCCATGGCATTGAGAATCCTTGAATTAAAACAATGCTCTAAACAGATTGTGGTGTTCAAACCGTTTTCAAAAGAGGAGAGAGGCCAGATCTCTAGGATACCGGAAAACAGTTGTGACAAGAAGGTCAAAACATGGTCACCCAATGTTAATTTCAGACATCTCTGCATGTTACAGTCAAGTCTAAAGATGGCCAATGCACAAAAGAGACCTCTGATCTTTCCATATTTAGCTGTGATCAACCTTTCCAGTTAACAATATGTATCTACAGTATTTATTCCAATGGTTCCCATGCTTTCTCGCATATGACCCCCTTAAATTGGAACAGCATGTAATTGTGACCCCATCAAAGTTTGAAATTCAATCAAAGGGTCACTTTTTTCCATCTTGATTTAAAGGATGCCTGAAGAGGTAAATACTTTTTTCTTTCTTATCCCTTTACTCATCTTGTGACTCCTCAGATTTCTCTTAGGACCCCTATATTGAGAACCAATAGGTTTATTCCCCCTCATATCTTGTCTCATTTCCAAGCTTTCATAGAAAAGATTAACATGCTTATGTGTAAGAGTTTTTGTACTGACATGTTTCTTACTTTTCACCCTCGACACCAGTGCAATCAGAGCTGAGAATTACAACCATAAAGGTATTTTTATTTTAACCTCCATTAAATGTAAACTATTTAAGATGCAACACGTCACTGATTGTCTTTCGATGTATTTTTTTTTATAGCAAGAACCATATGCAGTGTCCAAAGGCTCACAACTGGAAGGCTTTTGCATGGACCTGCTCTCTGAAGTAGCCAAGAAACTGGGCCTCAAGTACAAGGTGCACCTGGTGAAGGATTCTGCATACGGCAGACAGGATGAGAGCGGGAACTGGAATGGGATGATTGGAGAGGTGGTGAGAGGGGTGAGTGCATCAACACTGACATTTGGAAAGGTCAAAGGGCAGCCGTCCTCTCTGCTGGATTTAGAATGACCCCAGCTGGTGTCTGTGACTCACAACGGATACATTCAAAATCAGTGAATTTGTGAACTTTATCAGCAGGGTTTGCTGGTGCATTAAAATCTCTTAAGCAGTTTCTATAAATTAACAGTAAGTATTTATGCGTTCTCTACAGGAGGCCGACCTCGCTATTGCTCCGCTGACGCTCACTGCAGCCCGGGAGAAAGCGGTGGGGATGACCAAACCGTTCATGCAGACAGGAATCAGCATCCTTCTGAGGAAGGATATCTCAGAGGGAACGGCCCTCTTTGATTTCCTGTCTCCCTTTACAGCCAAGACCTGGGTCGGCATACTCATCGCCTACCTCGGGACCGCTGCTTGCATCTTTTTAGCTGCCAGGTTAGTGATGCAAGTATAATCTATTGAAACAGTGATATTAATGATTTATTAGTGGATTTGTATTGATGTGATGTGGATTTGAATATCTTGTCTGTGGATATTTTCACATTTCTGCTGGCAGTGGAATTCCTTTGAGTGCGATCGTATTAATAAGTAATATTTTTATTCAAATGCAGACTCAGCCCATGTGAGTGGAGTCAGCCTCAGAGTGAGAAGAACAGATTCAGCCTCCTCCACAGCCTGTGGTACACAGCTGGAGCTCTGACTCTACAAGGTGACACATTGTATCCCCCCAAATTGAGATGGACAACAATATATGTACTTATTGTTTATGTTCTATAAAATTATATCCCTCCTTGCTTTCAAATGTTTTTGTCAGGTGCTGGCCCTCACCCCAAAGCTCTTTCAGGACGTGTCATCTGCTGCAGCTGGTGGTTATTCACCATCGTCCTCCTGGCATGTTATTTCTCTAACCTCAGCTCCACTAAGACCTCTGAATCCACTCACCTCTCAGTGAAAGGGTTTGAAGACTTGGCCAATCAGGACACGATCGAGTATGGTTGTCTGGGTGGCTCCTCCACCCTTGCCTTCTTCAAGGTAGACTACAGACATTGGATTATTGATGAATCCCCTGTTTCTCTGCTGTTTCTCTTATTCATTTTTTTCATTCATGCAGAATTCAAACAATCCAGTGTACCGCAGAATCTTTGAACACATGGAGAGAACCAAGAGTTTTGTCTCGTCTATGGACGAAGGGGTCTGGCGTGCAAGAGAAGGAAACTTTGCCTTTATTGGAGAGTCTGTTTCTTTGGACTTGGCAGTAGCACGTCACTGTGAGCTGGTCAGAGCTCATGAAGTGGTTGGAATGAGAGGATACAGCATTGCTGCCAGCCTTGGTGAGCTTAAGCATATTATAAAACTAATAGAAAATGACATTTGAAAGAATTAATCATTAAAATTGTATAATTAACAATAAACCTATACATTTCCTCAAGGCTCACCCATCATAAAGAACCTCAGTGTGGCAATCCTACAGCTGAGCGAGGAAGGGGAGCTGGCTTACCTGCGGAGCAAGTGGTGGGCCAGCAGCTGCATCGCAGACAAGGCCAAGTCGTCAGCTGTGCAGCCGCACAGCCTCAAGGGGATGTTTCTGGTTCTTTCCCTGGGCCTGGGGCTGGGAGCACTGCTGGCTGTCCTGGAGCTCACCTCCAAGAGCCGCAGAAGTGCAGCTGAGCAGAGAGTGAGTGCAAGTGCATTCAAATCACATTACTTCCGTTAGGCGAGAAAAAAAACATCCACCAACAAAACTTCCTAACCTTTCAGAAACTAGACCAAACAGCCTTGTTCTTTGCTCAACAGTGTGTACATAAATTTATCCAAAAGGGGGTTTGAACGGTTTCATAAGCCTGTAGGTCTGCAGCGTTAACTTAACCATTTGAAAACAACACATATGATACAGATACAAGCATTAACCAATTGGTTTTCATATCAGCACATCAACAAGAAAATGCAGACTCTCATTTGTCTGAATAAATCTATCTCATCTAAAAAACGATTGTCATTAAATTAAACAACATATTGATGAATTATTTGTTTACCTATTGTCTCTGTTTATTTGTCGATCCTACAGAAATCCTGCTGCACCGTGCTGACTGAAGAACTGACTCTGCGCTTGAGGACAAGTAATGCGAACAAACCCCAAGAAAATGTTGTCATAGATAAAGAAAAAGCATAGTTTTATTCTTAGGAAATCTGACAATAGTTACTTTTAGCTTTGATAGCTGAGCATTTTCTTAAATATTTGACAGAAGTGTTAACTTAAATGTAGGTCTTGAACTCCCTTGCTTGAATATACATCAGATTCATCAGAAAAATTTTTTTTTACATCTACATATAAAATAACAGGACTCACATTTTATTAAAATAAGCAATTTATTGATTTTAAAATAGTACTACTAACATTTCAATAAAAAAGACAGATTTTATATGATAAAAACAATCAGTGATCAGTGTTAACAATAGGACTAACAAATATTGCTAGTGTGATTAGTTTACTGTTACTTTTATATGAGTCCTTTATGCTGTTTTGTACAGTTGGCAATGGCGTCAGATGATTCAACAATGTATTTAAAAAAACTATTTCATGCATACAAACTGTGTTAATTGTAAACATTACAGCGGGCCTATAACAATAAAAAAATATATCCAATTGTGTACATTTCGTGGTATTTTCCTACTGATCTATAAAGAAAATCTCAATTATTTCTTCGAACAACCGTTTGTGGTTGTATTGTTACTCTCTTCATTGTCTTCTGAAGGACCAGTCAAATCTCAGCTTGTTCTAACGTAAAGGGGAAAAAAAACAGGAAAAAAATAAATGCATGATTAATACATTCAACCAAATTTGTATCTGCAATTCTTTTTGATTTACTTACTATGACCATAGAGTGTATATATAGACTATGACACATCATTTCTTACTCACCATTTAGAAAAATTGGGGATTTACAGCCAATCTCCCTCATCTTCTGGTCAAAAAGGGCCTTCATCTCCCTCTGCAGGGTGCCTTCACGTGACTCTGCCCCAGCTGGCACACAGGACGGAAGAAACTCCAGGCTGTCTGTGCTACCGCCACTGCCGCTGGATGTGCTGTCAGACAGGAGGAGGCCGTTGGGGATCGGCCTCACCTGGCTGCTGTAGCTGCTGTAGTTTTGTGCTCCTTGGTTCTGCCAGGGGTCAGCAGGCCTGCGGTTTACCATAGGTGTCTGAGGAGATGCAGTTGATTTTCGAGGGCAACTGCGTGAACGGGCCTTTGTTCGTATTGGTGTAAACTGTCCAGGTGTGGCTGGAGCCTCTAAGGTCCGTCTCATCCTGGCAGGGGACGGTGGAGCGATGAGTTGAGAGGATTTTTCTTCAGGCTGAAGCAGATGCTGTCGCATGTGTCTAGGCAGAGGCTGAGGCCGAGGCAGAGAGAGTGTATCAGGCTGACTTTGAGTGTCTGTTGGTTGCTCAGGTTTAATAGCAATGAACTTGTCTGGGTGTGGTCCTGTTGGTAATTCTTCAAACTGTTCAGGATGCTTTGGCTCAAGCCTCTGAACTGTCTCCTGCTCAGCACAGTGTGACTCTGGCGGTTCAGCAAGTTCATTCTCCCATTCTTCTTGAATTGAGTTTTGGCCGTCAGGAACCTCGCAGGAAGCCTGGGGTAAGGTCTCAAGGTCAAAGCTGTCCTCTTTTGCACAGGGAGCAGCCCCCGTGTGGTAGGAGTCAGTGGAGGACATCCGGCTGAAGATTCCCCTCCGTGTCCCCGATGGTTCATGAATTTTAACTCGGTGCGCCCGCCTCAATGGCTCACTCATGGCCCCTTTTAGGATTGCAGTCTTGGCTGTTGGGCCTTGTAACAGAGGAAATATTTCTCCATTCCTGCTGTCCTGGGAAATGGTATCCAGATCCTTGCGGAAGAACAGACCACGTCCGTCTTCTGAGGACTGGACAGAGGAGTCTAGAGAAGGCTGCTTTTGAGGACCCTTCATATGCTTCTGAGCTGCTTTTTGGATGTGTTTTCTGGCCGCATGCACCGCATTTCCGGGTTTCATCTGTGTCATAAAGGACACCAAAAGTTTAAAGACAGAGTTTTCAGATAAAGATTACATTTGATTTGACTTAATTAAGATAACCTTACCTTTAATGACATGTCATTGACAGCGACATGAACAAAGATGGATGACTCCGCCATCCCCTCCAGGTACACATGCCGATAACCTGCAGATTTTACATTACATTTTTTACGTTAAGCCACATTTATTTTATTTTATTGGAATGGTTAATTTACTTGATTGCAGCGTGGTATTGTTTGTCGCATCGCAAAAGTCTGCATATCAGATATACCATCAAGTAATCTACCTGGCATCAAGCTTCTGAGAGCAACAGTTCTCTGCCCGATGAATTCTCGTCCAAGAGGATTATGATCCCACACATGGAAACGCACCAGAGCGATCTGCGGCATTTTGACGTTATAGACAAGGGTCTCCTCCCACATTGGATTAAAACCTGAATGACAGTTAAACAGTTGTCACACAAATAGAAAAACTGTTGGGACGATGGTTGTTTATGAAATAATGAGATAAGACTTACCATTATCATCCACCACCTTGGTCTGCTGCTTGGAACAATCCACATTTATACCAACTATCTCAACCTCAACAAAGGGATCAATAATCTGCAAGAGGAGAAACATGAGTAAAAGAGCATTTTAGTGATGAGAAATATATTTTTTAATGGTTTGTCCAATTGTCTTAATAGATATTCTTAAGAGCAGCATGTTCACCTCTCCTCTGTCCCCAAACATGGAGTCTTTGGGTTTAGGAATCTGCTGTCCGCTGATGATCTTCAGCACTAACTGAATCTTTCTGGTTCCTTGTAGGGGACTTTCTAACATGGGGTTAAAGGCACCTGAGAACATTTAAAAAAAAACTCAATTAACTACCCCACAAAGACAGTTGTCTTTCCCTTTAGGCAATCTGTATATGCACATACCTTTACACATGACCTTTGGCCTTAGAATATATCCACAGTTCCCATTGCTTGAGAACTTGGCTCGGTTCAGATCAAGCATCCGGCCCTCTGTTTGATAATTCAGTGCAACTAAAATAAAATACATGAAAACAAATGAAAAACTGCTGCAGGACTTAATACAACCTCTCACTGTAACTTTAAAGTAGGCATCATTGCAGTCTCTGTGACCGTCTTACCCATATGGCATCCTGCGTTCCAGTACAGTTGTGGGTTGAAGTTGCTTGAGTCCACTCTGTAGTTGGACGGGTAGACTCTTATAAGTTGGCGTTGGTTGAAGCGGACCAACTCGGCTGCTTTCAGCTGTAAGATCTGGTTCATAACAGTCTCGTTGAGGGATGATACCTGCCAACTGTTTTCAAATGCTAGCAGATAGAATAAACACAACATCAAACATTTATTGCGTGAATATTTTATTGACTGTAAGATTTGTATGTATGTGTTGATGTTCACATTTTTTAAGACCCTTTACCTTGTGTTTCTATGTCATGCACACGGACCGATTTTGTATACTTGACCAGGTCAGACAGATGTCGGGACAACCTCATTGTTTTCCTCTTTCTGAAAGTAGAGATATAGACATACAGTAAGTGTAACTCACAATACTAAGAAAAGGAAATGACTAAAAGTGCTTAATTCTATGACCAGTCTTACTTGGGATGGTAAACTATTTGTGCCTTCTCCTTGCTGTGGTCTGACTCGCCACCAGATATTGTCTTGTTTTTCACTCGTAACCTTTTTTTCCTCTGAAAAAATAAACTTTATTTGCAGTATCTGTAGTAGCTGGGAAATTGTAGAATGAGCCATTTAAAATTTTTTTTAGAGAATAAGCAAGCGGCTGACCTTTCGTTTGAAGCTCGCTATGATCGATTTGTCAAATCGTCTTTTCTTTTTTCTTTGATTGGTAGGATTAACGATACTACCGTCCTAAAACAGTCAAACATAATACATTATTTCACAAATCAATCAATCAGTCTGTCTGTCTGTCTGTCTGTCTGTCTGTCTGTCTGTCTGTCTGTCTCTGTCTGTTTCTGTCTGTCTCTGTCTGTCTGTCTGTGTCTGCCTGTCTGTCTGTGTGTCTGTGTGTCTGTGTGTCTGTCTGTCAATCTGTCTGTCTGTCTGTCTGTCTGTCTGTCTGTCTGTCTGTCTGTCTGTGTCTGTCTGTGTCTGTCTGTCTCTGTCTGTCTGTGTCTGTCTCTCTCTGTCTGTCTGTGTCTGTCTGTCTATCCGTCTGTCCGTCCGTCTGTCTGTCATCCATCCATCCATCAATCAATTTTTGCCTGTGAATTATCATCATCATCGCCATCTTCTTCCTCCTCCTCTTCCTCATCACCAGTGTCTTCATCCGACACATCGCCCTCCTCTGCACTAGGATCTAGGTTTGCTGGCAGCTTTTTACCCTGGAAAACATCAATGAATTAATTAATATTACCAGTCAGTTTTGTTGGTGTGCTTTGTTTAATACTCCTGAGCAGTATTTGGCTGCAGATGTTGCAAAAACAACTTACCTTGACCAAAACCTTCCCTTTAAGAATCTCAGGGGAAGGCAGCCTCTTGCATTCATGAACATTGACACCGGACAGATCCAGTTTGTCCTGCAGCACCTCCTTCAGATACTCAGCCATCTTTTTTTGCTGAGGCACAGTGCAGTGATTCTCTATGGACAAGATCACTGGGTACCTGGAGGGGCGAGGTGATGACACCTGAACCAACATGAAAAATGCTGTTTATTGTGAAAGATAGCAAAAATCAGTACCCCACTTACGGTGATTTTGTGAAGGCATATTTGTTAATTGTCTCAATGACTTCTTTAAATGGAATCTTGGATGTCAAAGTGTAGCCGTGATGAATAATGGGCTCCCCGTCAGGCCCGTCCCAGCAGTCCACTGCAAAGGGAGAAATAAATAAGAGAAGAAGAAATAATGAAGGATGAGTGAGTCACATTGTCTGTAATGTCCTAAAATAACAGCTAAGAGAGCTGCAGTTCTGTTTTTAGGCTCTTACCCTCCACACAGCGACAGCCTGCCTGCAGAACATAGGCGTACATTTCCACTCGAGACTGAGAGAGCAGCTGGTCTCCTGTCAGGTACGTGTTGTGTGAAGTGGCAATGAAGTAGTTGGTCAGCGGCTGCGTCATGTCCTGGTTCACCTGATTGTGCTCAGGGTTGAAGATATCACCTGCCGGACTCCTCATGAAGTTAGTAAAACCTAAAGAAAGGGAGATTCAGTGTATTATTTGTTTGTTCATTGCATGTCAGGTTTAATTGACAAATGTGAAATTACTGATGCATTGTTATATAGTTGTAATAAACAATTTCCCCATACCATCAATACCCAGCACTGTTCGCTGCAAGTTCTCAGGACATGGCTCAAATTGGGTTACTATGTCGACTAGATACTCTTTGGGCAAACCTCGCATCTGCAAATAAAACATCAACAAATGTTATTTTTGGCTTACCTCATCTGACATTTTACACGTATGTTAAATACATGTTTTGTGAAGTAGGAAGTGTTCTATAATAGTTCATTTGAGTTATTATGTATCAATCCTTACAGATAATATTTTTTTTGCCATGTTAGCTTTTAATATATTATTTTGGAATCAAACATTTGTATCCAACAATGAACACTACAATACGGAATGTAACTTCACACCAAAAATACATTGAATGGCTTTAGAGGAAAACCATGAATGTGTAACTGTCAAGTAGAGTTGAACTACTTTACATGATAACACAAATGTTGTTGGTATACCTTCTGTTCGTTTTCCAGAAAGCGTGCAAGGTCGTGAAGATCCAGGACTTCTTTCTGATTGCTGTAGGAGATCATTATCAGGTAGAGGTCTCTGCGAGTGGAAATCATCTTGTAAAACGCACAGAATTCTTCAAAGCCCAGAGAGCCCTGGTTCTCGTCTGTGTCTGCTTCCTACAGATAACGACAAAAAGTATTTTATGAGCAAGAAATAACTCACATTTTGTGATTTCAGATAACAACCCTGCCAAAGAAAACATGTACCACTGTAGACCCATCTGAAGGATATATGTATCTCTCTCCCCATCAAACATGATGGAGCTCTTTCACAGAGATTATCATCATTATCAGGAGGAGAGGACAGAGAGCTACTGAACTAAAGCAATACTGCAGTGAAACTAAAGCCATCTGTTCAGCGGAGGCCATATGGCTTTCCTGTGGCACTCTCTTGCAATTTCATGCCAAAATACTGTAATTACATATTTGTTTGCTGGTTTTATCACCATCCTTGTATCTTACATCGACTATAAAATCATGTGAAGATCACAAAAGAATACGCTTCTTAGGGAAACATCAAAAACCTTCTACCACTTTACTTTCCGGTTTTACTTTCTGTAGCCAGTTTGTACATTCAGAAAGTGTGTCTGCCCAGGAAAAGAGTACATAAAAAAATAATTGCTTTACGGTCCTGTCTTGCAGATGCTGTCTGGGTTTAAGTTATGTTTGAAAGCATTTTCTGTTGGATGCAATTTATTTGCCATCCAAAAACCTATTTTTTTATTTTATACTTTGGTCCAGACTGAAATACCTAAACAGGTATCAGATGGATTTACACTACATTATGTACAGACATCTATAGTATCTGTAGTCTGTAGTAGTCATCTGTGTAGCCATGTAGCCACAATTGAAAAAAGCTATATTTCCAGTTATGCAATATGCATTCTGAAGACATAAAAGTAGGCTACAGAGGTCGCTTTGACTTTGGGTCATGCTCAGTAGATATACAGTATGTAAGTTTGCATAATCAACCTTTGTCTTACTTGAAACATCTGCCTGACTTTCTCCTTGGGTAAATTCACATTGAGTTTGTGGAGCAGCTGGTGAACCTCTCCAATGCTCAAGGTGCCATCACCGTTTTTGTCAGCCTCAGAGAAAGTCTGCTGTAACCATGTGAGGATGCACTTAAGGAGAACATAACAAAGCCATGATTTGTTCAGTTTATGTCTGCTGTTCTTCTACAAGTGGCTGTGTTTACCTCTATGGTAGTCTAGACAAGTAGTGATGTATTTGTAATAATTAATAATTTAAAAACTAAACATGTGCATGAGAAACTGGAAAAAGGATATTGATCACGGGTGCGTTGCCTCCTCGTAAAACTGTCCTCATCACTGATGCCAGCCATGAGGTATTTGAGCCCGGTGATCCAGGTGCGGGCCTCCTCTGCGTTGTTGGAGACCAAGTCCAGGGACTTCACTCGCTCCCCGTAGTAAATACTAAAGCAGTAGTTTGGGTCGAAGCGATTGTCTGCGTATCGCCTGAACATCTCTGACTTTTTCCCCTCACATACTTCATGGATGGAATCGATAGTTACTGAAACAGACGATAAAATAAATGTCTTGGGGGTCAATCAACTAAACATCAACATCTCCGAGCTTCCTGGTAGAAATACAAGAAACTGGTTGCTAAGAACATCATCATATAACCAAAGAAAAACATAGGCGAAATATGCTAAAACAGAAGTTTAGAGAAGAACATATGTTTTCATGCCATGTGATACACTTTCAATAATTGTATCTGTAGGTCTAAATCCAAACACCAAACCCACTCAAGACAGCAGCTGTACTGTATATGTTCAGCCCCGCCCAAATAAATATTGAAACTCAGTTTGTTCATGACTCACTTTTAGCCTTGTCATGTTTCCTGGAGGGCCTCCACCGGATGCAGGACTTGTGTTCGTCTAGGTAAAAGAATCGGACAAGTCCTTTCTTCTTCCCCTTCATTTTGGTCATCTGAGTGCCGATCTGCATAGTGCACATACATCTCTCCACTACAAGGACGCACATGGAGACACATTATGTATCGTCTATTAGTTGAGCTTGACTGAAATCCACACGGATCATCACGTTCAATCAGTAATACTATGATAAAATGTATTATTTAAACATTTTGCTGAGAGAATTATTGTGATTGTTTGCACGGAGGCTTCATAACAAACAAGGTAGCAGTGGAGACAAGCAGAGGTTTATCATCAAGCACTTGTTTATGAGATTATAGGTTGCGTCATACAGGGATTTAAGTAGCTGTATGTGTTCATGATAAAAGGGAAAATAAGGGAAAAGATCCACCACCGTAAAATTATCTTTGGCAAAAAAAATAATCTATGAAGGCCCTCACTGTGAATCAAAGTATGTTATACTAACTACAGCTGATATTTTCTTGGAACTTTTTAATGCTAGGGGTACAAAGTGCATCTACTGAAATAACATCTCAGATCAAGCAATTAATTATCTTGTAATGCTCAGGCCAATGGGAAAGTGGGGTGTTTTTTGTGTGTGCTGAGAGCAGGCAACCTTTGTTTGTAATCTGAAGCTCAGATGCATGTGACGCAAACTGGTACTTCAGTTAGGCTAATCCCAAAGGATTGTCTACCGTCCATATGCTCACAGGCTTCCCTGGCCTACTCTGTTATGTTGAGACATGCACTCATTTAAAGGAAAATTGTATTAAAATATCAGGGTTAAAGTTCAAAATGTTTAAAATATCATATATTGTGTGAACAAAATATTTTAAAATGCTACTTAACAACCTTTTCTGCAGTACTTTTGCGTTTGAAGATCAATATTCATGATGACTAATTTGCCAGTCTTACCCATCTGACCCAGTCTCCATGTTGGCTGTGCCACCACACTGCCACCAATCCAGAAAAACTCCTCTGCCAATCTGGAGATGGACGCTTTCTGCCAGAGTTTCGAAGAGGTCATTATAGACGGGTTGGATGAGTTCAAGGCAATCGAGGCCTTTCTTGCCTGATAAGAGGAGCCCTTAATAAGCGAAGGGGGCATAACTCCTGATGTCAGAGACCCCAAAGACTGAAAGGTGCTCTTCTTGGGTGACAGAGGCGAGCGTGGTGGGGTGCCACTCGGCCCTGGAGACAGAGGAGCCATCGCTGGGGTGCTGTTCATCCCTGAGCTGTACATTTCAGTCCAACTCTCCTGTCCCATTAACTCACCTCACTCTGCTGGACTCCTCAGGGAAGTTCGTTTATAGCACAGCTTCTCTCACGCAGCATATCCATGTCTTCCTGTTTAAATCTTCCCATATGGGACCAGGGAACAATATTCCCACCCTGAAGGTTCATTCCTCGTCATGAAATGACCATTGATCCGGTGTAGCAGCCATATGTTCTTCTGTGTTTATTTTTTGCAGTCAGAGGAGGTTCGCAGAGAAAGAGTGTGCAACATGTGTCAGTGACTAAATCTTCCTCAAGCTGTAATCCTGGAGTAGGCTAAGGCTTGTGCGTTGCTTTCATGCAGGGATTTTCACGCAACCAGTAAGCCTCTGAAGAAAGAGAGTGGGACAGAAAGACTGGTAATATTCATTTAACTACAACAATGGCAGTCCTTATCATTAAATAGTAAATACATTGAATTTGATTCAATAGGTGGTTTTCAGGATATACAAAATAATGATTTAGGGATGATTTTAGCACTAAATTATCCACCCTTCAATTGTGTGCAATGATCCCCCCTAGAGGAAATGTGTGACATACAATGCAATGTATAAAAAGACACACACATTTTTGATTTCAAGCTTTTTGCTGTACAAACTCATCGTGAAAATTGGCAAAATAAATCAGGCAAAAGTATGACATGCTTGCAATTATTTTTTAATGCTGTAATTTCAGGATAACAAAAACTAGTTTTCTCTTGTGATAACTGATAAAACCGGATTTTATTTAGGGACCATCAATAAATTACCAATTGGAAGATACAAGATCAATGTTATTTTCAATAACTCCATTCTAACCTGCCCATATCAGGGAAAATGACACAATAAATGTGTGATATGTGGCAAGCCTTTTTCTTACTTATGTGCTATTGATTTATTTATAAAGATATTTCAAAAGAAGATCATTTCAGTGTTTTAATAGCTTTCATGTCATGTGAAACACTAACTTCAAATAGTGGTCAGATATTATTATTCACTTGACAAGTAAGACTCAACTCTATGTATTGCATTTAAGTGATTCCTCTATTTCATACAAACATTGTAAATATTACAAAATGATGCTGTTTCTTTTTTTCTTGGCCAGTTTAGCCTTTATTGAAGAGTGACAGTGTTGAAAGGGAGAGACAGAGGGAAGGACATGCGTAAATGGGGCCAGGTTGGACTTGAACCTGTGTCCTCCGCACGGAAACTGAGTCCCAACACTTGGGCCGCCAGCTGGTGACCCAAATCATGCTGTTTTTTATGGAAAGTCTTTTTCTTCAATAGCTTTCATATCATATATATCATATTAGTACGATACATCTCTTTTCATTGTATTTAAGTCTGTCTTCTGGTTTATATGAAGATATTCATGAACAAATTCAGGAGTGATCTGGTAAAGAGATGGCTGGGATGTGAGCTAACCATCCTCTGACTTGAGACGGTCTGTGAAACTGAGGAAACAGGCTGGAGTGATTTCTGTCAATTACCCAACCTTAACCTTTCTTAACCCGCTGAATGTCTGTAATACATTTCGGCATTCCAAGTTGCGAGACACAAACATGCACTGTAACAGTTTCCATCGCAGGCACAAACAAAAACACTTCTCAGAACGATTTAGGATTGATTTAGATTTTAATGGGTATTATACAAGTTTTCCAAAGGAAAAGAAAACATTTAAACAAGAGGCAAGTGAAACCCCACATCCAAACCAAAACTACAACAGCATCAGCTAACAAAATGGATATTGCTATTACACTGTACCCAACAAATACTGAGCGAGGGTATCATAAGTAATGATAAGACATAAAAGTGTTTCTTGTCTAAAATACACGAGAGCACCTATGGATGAAACCGATAGAAAGTGTCGCTTCTGGTCTATCTGTCGAGGGAGCTGGAGGTGCAGATATTTCAAATCCATTTTTCAGTTTTTGGTCTGTAGTGTAATATATACTCTATAATTCATCAGATAATAAAGATCTTTTCAAATAAACAAAATCAAGGGACAAATTATAATAATCTGTTGCTGTGTCAAACCTATAAAAACTACTGATAGGTTTATGACCTTTGATGGTTTCCTTCTCCTTGTTCAAACCAACAGGTCCATTCATTCTGCTGAATGCCCTGTGATTGCAATGATGCTCAGGGATACAATAACACAATTGCAGTTTTTAAAATCCAAATATAGTCTCTTTTTGGTTTCAAGTAAGAGCAAAAAATAATATTCATAATCAATTTAAGTCTGGAGCAAGCAAACATACCGACAAATATCTTATTTACAATATCATTGTATTTACATCAGAGGAAACTGAGGGAAAGTGTGTTTGAATTCAAAGTTTCTTAACTCGTGTTTAAAAATGTAACAGGGAGTACAATGCTCAATGCAAGGTTCTTTTATTTAAAAAGTGCAATTCCTTTTCTTAAAGTAAAAAAATATATATCCATATTTTCGTATAATATGTAGAAATGTTGTTCATATAAACAGCATTTGTTGATTTAAGAGCCCTAAAACCAGTGACTAAAAATTAATGCTTTCTGTTGATAGGCAGCAAATTATTATTATAGAATATAAATTATTTTACAATACTCAATAGAAAATCAGAAGTACCGCGTGTCAACGAAAACAGACGTCTCTTGAAGGCTTTTTTCTTTCTTTTAGGAGGGCATTTGTTGACCTATCTGCACTAAGGTGGGCAAGAATATTTACTATTTATCACATGGTTTGGTTGCAAAAACTGGAAAACAACGCTCAAACAACAAATAAAGTTGCATTATAATATTAAAAAGTAACACTTCCATAAAATATCTAAGCATAAAACAGTGGTGGACCTGAAGGCAGCCCACGTAACCTCCAATACTTCAGGTTTATAAAATACAAAAGGTAGACAAGCCGGTATACATGCGTACATGTTTGTATATGGATGTTTTTTCTTGCCTGTGGAATAACAGTGCTGCGCAAGCATTATTTCTTAAAAAGTACATCCTCTACACAGTTATAAAAAGCAAGCCGATATTAAAAGTAAATAGTGGTAAACTGGTGTCTCTTGTTTCCAGTGGTCTGCAATGACACCTTTGAGTGTACCAATATTTTGTGGCACCAAGAGTTTCATCATCCACTCAACATGTTTCTTCCCTTCATATTCAAGTAGTGTTATGTGGCTATATTTGCACATCATAGAATAGCTTATACCAAAATAAAATCCTTGGACAGCGTCATGTGTCTCTGACGTCACTGGAGAGATGTGGTCATCACTGAAGAAGTCTTTCTTAATTTCACGCTCTACAACATGCTCAGACATCATGCTACTTTCCAGTTCATTTCATAAAATTCGTATATTGTCATAATAATATTGATTTGTATCATACCATATTATATATGACTGATTTTTCCTCTCCAAAACTTTGCAGTTTGTTGAGTTCTCTTTTCCCTAACAGGAGGTGCAACAAAGTCCTTTACCATGCTCCTTTGTTATTGAGTCTCTTTCTCCAGTTTTGAATGTGCAACTTTAAGATCCGTTGGTGGGTTGTGTGGTCTGTCTGTGTGCGTCTGTGTTTGCGTCCATGGGCTCTGCACGAGGGCTGCTGTCGGCCTGCAGGGCCTGCTGGGTTTGCAGGTCTTTAACAACACTCTCCAGGTTCTGCCGAGCTTCTCTCTCCTGCTGAAGCTCTCGTCTCAGCTGCTCACGGTCAGCTTCTGCCTGCTGGAGCTGCACATGCAACTCTTCGATCTGCACAAAACAACAGATGGAAGTCAGTATACAAATGATGCAAAGGGATAAAGAAAATCACAAATCAACAGAGTATATACAGGTGGTTGTGTTGATTATGTTGCAGACATCT